CCACCCCCAGGTACATACCCGAGAGAAGGAACGGGTATGTCCACCCAGAGACTTGCTCCTGAGTGCTCAGAGCAGCGTGGCGGAGCCAGCCCAAAGCCCAGGAACACTGTAAAGACAGAAAACAGTTGAGGAAAGTAGGTACTCACTCAAGATGGTATGGATAGTGATACACAGGTAAAGGTCCACGGCTGGAGCCTGGAGTCAGCTCTGAGCTTTATGATGCCGGCTGCTGCTTACCCTACATTCAACTGTAAGCGCAGCATGATAAATGCTCACATACTACCTACACTGGTACCAATTGGGCAGGAAAACGAGTCTGCCCCTAGGTCTGGGGAGAAGGGGGCTAAAAAGACTGACTCAGGAGGGGAGGACTGTGGGGAGGTGGCTCTGGGGCCTGTGCTCAAGTCCCCTCTTGGCTCCAGGGAGCACGGGCCTTTCCACTGCCTTCCCCAAGGTGCAGAGATGTGTAACCTGCTCTTCTCTCAAAACATTAAAGCAGCTGTATTTTCAGATCCAAATTCAAAGCCCAACGACTTCCCAATTCAAGGGTAGGAACTGACCACCCTATCATGTAGCTGACAGCAAACATTCTCCGTCATCAGGACAGAGAAATCCAAAATTCCAAAATATAAGGCAGATGTCGTGAAGCAACAACAGTTCAATAAACAAATACAACACCTTTGTTTGGATGAGAGGAGGAAACAGGGCACGGGCAGAAGAACAAACAGAAATCCCCGAGTTCAGCTGTCTGGGTTCCCCAATCCTGCAGCTACCAGCCCAAGCAGCCGACACGACGTGTAATTACAGAGAACAAAAATGACCCTCCCAAGAGGACTCTTTCTTCGAGAAATTCCACAAGGGGGATCACGATCCAAGGCATCATTAACTGATTCCATACACACGTGGGTGCCACTAAACCCATGTTTAAGCCCCTTTTCTAGGACACCAACTACATTATCTCCAAAGAGAGACTTCTCCTGTCCAGTCCAGTTGGTAGCAGTCGAAACATGCTACAAGTCTCATGACTCACTCTCCCAAACCCCCATATAACAACTCTTCTAAACATTATGGTTTTCAAGGACCCCTTCCTCGGGGTTTGTGACCCACTGACCAGCCTCCCGGGGACACACACTCTGGACTTCCCCAGGCAGTGTGACTCCCAAGAAGCTTATCAATCCCAGTCTCCCTAAGTAGCCTTGAGCACAGAGGCTGTGAAAGGAGTGAGGCAGGGTAGTTACATCCCATCAGCCCTGGTTCTATCACTAACTGCTTCAAACCGGAAAAACAGCATTGGGCAACAGGATTCCAAAACTTCAACAGGATAAAGTCATGCTATGGCATATTCCAGAACACAGCTCCAAGGCCCGTCCACAGCACGCTAGTCACAGCTGAGAGAAATTAACATGAAGACTAGATTAGCTGTATTACGCATGAGCCTCATTCGAATCACCCCTCCCTACCAGGTTAAATTAAACCTTAGGCAGCATGCTACATGCATCTTCAAGGGTATTATTCTAAGTACAGGTTCAAACAAACTGCCTACACTAACTGGGGCCACTCGATGGTGCAAACTCAGTAATCTAAAGGAAAAATGGTCTTTAATATAAAAATATTCTAAATATTAGAATCAGGAGGTTTGGCTTAAATTCTGGCAGGTACTTAGAGGAATTTTGTCCCCTGAGAGAATCATTTAGCCTCTATGCGTATCAGTTAACTTATTTATTAATATCAGAAAACCAGAGTCTACAGGTCCTATCGATTCTAGGAAGAACAACTCACATACGAGAGCAACTGGAAACCACTAACCTGACGTCATCTTTCTTTTAGAATAATATTCTTCAACATATTACTTGAACCAAAATTTAAATTTTAATCAAACTCCTTCAGTGAAATTATTTTTACAAACACTAACTCATCAAATCCTACTGTATCTAAAGTCCCATCTCACCTATCCTAGAAATCCAGCAACTTAACTGTACACCAGAACTGCGTCTATGAAGAAATGATGACAGAAATTTAAAATCTCCTCCTCCGAGAGTCTATCTGTAACTCCACACTGGAACCCATCATCCCAGGAACATGAAGGGTTCACCCAGCTTGGAAGTCATTCTGCTTTCTCTCTGAAATTCAAAGTGCGTTTCATCAGATGGTTAAGTATTGGAAGTATTACTTTTAAGCAAACTGAGTTTTTCAGTGGGCTATTCTCCTAAACTTACTAGTTCCGTACAAAGATGTTATTTATTTACCGCTGATAAGGAGTCTGCCTGCAATGCAGGAGACCTGGGTTTGATCCCTGGATTGCGAAGATCCCCTGGAGAAAGAACTGGCAACCCACTCCAGTATTCTTGCCTGGAAAATACCATGGACAGAGGAGCCTGGCCGGCCAGAGTTCATGTGGCTTCAACGAGTTAGACACAACTAAGAGACTTCACTTCTCTTTCTATAGGATCCTTTGAGGTGTACATACAAGGCACCATTTTTCACACATCAGGGTTTTTTTCCCTCCAAGAGTATCAGTCAAGTCCATCTCTGACCAACCCTTTCCTGTTCGACTCACATTTCTACTGATTCTACATAGAGACTTAGAGGCTTAAAATGAAACAAACCAATGAACGACCTGAGACTCTCATCTCAGGATCCGGTGATGGCCCCCTTTCAAGATCTGGACCTCACCTGTGGCCTCCCCCGGGCTCCCCAGCTGCTCATTACTTGTACAACAGCACTGACTCTTTTCTGTGTTAGTCTAGGATCTGCATTTAGGAAAGGCCACCAAGAATCTGGAGCTCAAGCAGCTGACTCAGCCGTTGGTGTAGCTGAAGGGGCAAGCCCCCAGACAGCCTCCATCAGCACTGCCTGGGGCAGAAGACCTGGCTTGGAGACACAGTCCAGCCATGCAGGTAGCCCAACCCCACCTCTCCTCCACCCCAACATCTTTGGTCCACTCCCTGTCCAGGACATGCTGAGCCTCCCCATTTCCTCCCCAGCCATCCACCCTGGACCAAGGCCTCATGGCTAGGTTCCCCTCTCACCACCCTTTCCCTTCACAACAGACCCTGAGGGGTCCTTTAACTGGCCGTAGGTAGGTTCCAAGATGGCTTGTTCCTGAATATTCTGGATAAAGGCATCACCTGTAGAACCTGCAGCCACTAAGAAAAATAAGCAATTATTCCAACAAAGACTTCCTCCAAACTATATGCAAATAAGCTATTTCTAAGGTCAAACATTTTATCCTAAACATACTCGACAGCACTGTAAATTAACTGTACTTCAATAAAACACACACACACACACACACAGGGAACAAACAGGATCTTAAAAAAGTTAATTGTGAGCACTAGCAGCACCTGTAAATATGTAAATTATGTGGCGTAATGTTCAACATCAGTATCCCGTCCCTGCACTTTCTTTCCGGTTTCCCTTATAACACCACCGCCACATAGTAGTCACTATTTACCAGGTATTATTCTAAGTGTTTTATGTGAATTAATTAATGAAAGGCTCTGAACAGCTCTCTAGGGCAGCTAATATTAATTCCGCCTATTTACAAATGACCACATTTGGCACTGAGAAGTTCAAGTGAGTGGCAGAGTCTGCTCAGACGGAAGACGCCAAGACTAGAACTAAGCAGTCCTGCTCCTAAGCCCGGTGTGTCCACGACTGTACTGGGATGCCCGGACATCTCACTGTCACACTTACATCATCAAAGCTGCTTGGGAACCGCTAGAGGGGCACGGAGGGTGACTGCCCCTGGCGGCTCTACCCTCAGCCGTCTGGAGGGTCCTGAAGAAATCAGGCCGAGTTCCACACTGGTGGGCTGCCCCTTCCAGACTGCGCTCCTTAAGGGTGAAGGAGAAAACTGCAGCTCATCTCTTAGACTTTGATTGCCCAGGGCACCCAAGTGACAGTAAATGAATGAGACAGTCCTCGACACCTGCTGCAGAGGGGCGTCTTCCACCAAGAAAAAGCCTTGGACCTAAACACACGCCTGAGAAGGCCCTGCATGGGGACAGTCCATAGCCAACTCTTCAAACCTCTCCAAAGCTAACCCTGCAGGAGCCCCAGAGCTGCAGTAACCGACACCTGAAACTTATCAGCAGGTGCGCGCGTCCTAGCGGACAGCACGATGGGAGAGCCGGCCTTCACTACATGAGCACTGCTGCCTTCATAAAGCCTTTTACTGGAAAAAGAAAAAGAAAAACAAAACTAAAACGTAAACCCAGACTGCACCGAACACGAGTTTACGTATGGTTCATTCACTTTAGAAATATTTTTTTCTAAAAGCTCCTTATAAAGAGTCAATTTCCCTCACGTCACTCGGAACACCCAGTAATTTTAAAAATGATCTTAATTTGGGCAAGGAAACCACATGAGACAACGCTAGGGATCAGCTCCCGGCACCTAGAGGAGCGACGTCCAGGTACAACCCCCGGGGGACCCCCGGCGCGGTCCAGACCACCGCCCGGTTCCGGAGCCCTCACGTCCCCGTACGCCGCCCCAGCCGGAGCCGCCTCCCAGCTCCCTTCCGACCCCGGAGCAGAGCACGCGAGCGGGACGCCTCCTTCCCGACGCTCCTCCGGGAACAATGTCAAACTTTTTGTTTTTCCTGAAGCACAAGACTCCTCCGCTCGGAAACTTCACGGTCCCCAGGAAGCCAGGCGTGGAGGCGCGGGAAGGCCCGGCCGAGCCGCCAGCCTTTGCGCCGAAGAAAGGCGGTCGATGCTTGCGGGGTCGTCCCGCCCGGGCCGCCCCTTCCGCCTCCGCGGACCCGGGCCCCCGGGCCCCCGCAGCCCGGACCCCGGACCCGGGCCGGCGGCCTCGAAGGGGCTCCGGGAGGCGGGCGGCGCCCCGACCCCTGCCTGACGCGGCCCCGGCCCCGCCGACCAGCCGCCGCGCTCCCGCTTCCGCCGCCGCGGCTCCGCCCGAACGGCCGCCCCGAGCCGCCGAGGCCTGGGCTCCCCGCCGCCCGCGCCCTGCCTCCCGCCCGCCCGGCCCGCACTCACATCCGTCCGCGTCCTCCGGCAGGTCCTCCTGCAGCAGCGACAGGTCTGCGCCGAGGGAGACAAGAAAGGCCGTGAGCCCGCCGCCCGCCGCCCCGCGCCCTCGCGTCCCCGCCCGCCGCCCGCCGCGGGGCCCGTACCCGCCATCTTGCGGCGCCCCCTCCTCCGCCGTCGCCCGGGGACCCGGGGCTCCAGGGGCGGCGCGCGCGGCGGCCGGTGGACGCGCGCGGCGGGCGGCGCCGCGGGAACGCGCGGGGCGGGCCGAGGGCGGCGGGCCGGGGGCGGCTCCGGACGCCGGGCGGACCCGGCCCGCCCCGCCCGCCTGAGCGCCGCTCCGCCTCCCGCTTCGCTCGCTCCGCCCGCCGGCGCGCTCTCGGCTCGGCTGGCCCCTCGGTGAGCCGAGTCCGAGGCGCGGCTGCTGCTGCCGCCGCTGCTGCCGCCGGGGCCCCGCGCCGTGTGGCGGGCTCGGCCGGGCGGGGCCTCCCGTGCTCTTTGTTGGGTCACTGGCGCCGCCCGTCGGCCCGCGGGCCCCTGTCCCGGCACCTGCCCGCCCGTCTGCTCGGCCGCGCGGCGGGGCCACCTCCGGGCGTGAAGCGCCGCCTCCGCGCCGGCCGCCGGGCGCGGCGAACAAAGCCGCGGGGACTGCCCGGCTCCCGCGCTGGCCCCGGCCCGGCGGTGGGCGTGCGGCCCGGTTGCTGGAGGACCGACGAACCTCGCCCCCGGGCTCGTTGGGACTAAGGACGAACGACAGGAACCGAGCACCGAGTACTGGGCGTCCTGCAGGTGCTGGGGAACGGCGCCTCTCCTTAGCTTTTGTCTGTAAATAATTTAAATAATTGTTGTTGCCCTCGAGGCGCTGGGCTGAAATTTGCAGCACGCGTTGTTACTTCTGTCTTTCCACAAGTGCTCACGGATGCACGCAACCGCCCAGTATGGTGTGGGGGCCCAGCCCCAGTTCCCTGGCCCACTGCCCATTGGCCTCTGTCCAGGAGGTGGGCCTCAAGCCCACCTCCCGGTCCCCCAAGGCCTCCAGGATGGTCATGCCCTGAATGACCGTTACACAGGGACGTGTGTAAGTGATGCCACATTGGGGGTCTGGCCTCGGGGGAGGAGACGGAATTCCAAATGGTCTGCACGATGATCTTAACCAAGGACATTGTATTATATTTAATGCCGTGAAAGAATCAGAGCCTCTGAAATACATAATTATGGATAATAAAATGGGTCCCACGTAGCTATTCAAAATAACTTCTCTCTCAGATGTTATAGGTTGCAATATGGATTTCATCAAGTGAAGTCAAAGTCGCTCAGTCCTGACCTGACTCTTTGCAACCCCGTGGACTAGCCTGCCAGGGTCCTCTGTCCATGGAAATCTCCAGGTCAGAATCCTGGGGTGGGTTGCTCCTTCCCTTCTCCAGGGGATCTTCCCAACCCAGGGATCAAACCCAGGTCTCCTGCATTGCAGGTGGATTCTTTACCAGCTGAGCCACTGGGGAAGCATGTATTCCATAGTATGTGTTAAATATTTTCTGAGAGAGAAAAACTGGAATAGCATCTCTAACTCTAGGTGTGTGTCTAGTGTAACAAAATAATTATAACTAAAAATCAAATGGCCACTATCTAGTTCTCTCCTTCCTTGCAGAACACTGGTATGTGAATTCAGCTGATACTCACTCTCAATGTGACAAGGAGTTAGAAATTCACAACTGTCACTTGACTCAGTCCATGAGAGCTTTGCCCTGCTAATGGTACCTCAGTAATCCTGGGTGGAAAGGGGAGGGCAGGGCATTGGGGTCTTTCCACTAGCTGGGGGTCTCCTTGCAGCAGCACAGAATCTACAGTGCCAGCTAGGCTTTGGCCCCCAGACACACATGGAGGTGAAGGGGACCATCTGGGCGATCCACCCAGTAGAGTAAGACTTAGTGATGGTGATAAAACAGATGTTATGTTACAAATACTTTGGCCACCTGATGTGAAGAGCCGACTCATTGGAAGATGCCCTGATGCTGAGAAAGACTGAGGGCAGGAGAAGGGGGTGACAGAGGATGAGATGGTTGGATGGCATCACCGACTCAATGGACATGAGTTTGAGCTAACTCCAAGAGAGAAAGTGAAGGACAGAGGAGCTGGTGTGCTGCAGTCCATGTCCGCAAAGAGTCGGACACGACTGAGCAAGTGAACAACAACCAAATGCTAACCTGGGCTATATAGGTCGACTAAAACTCTGCCTTGGGTAAGCAAGGCTGCACAGTGAGTTTTATCTCACTTTCTCTGGGAAGCCAGCCAAGGAGGAGGGGCTGTGTAATTGTATCCATATTGTTCAGGAGCTGTGCATTTGATTATTGTCTTACCTGTATCCCACATTACAGCAGGTCCCTGGAGGCAGCTGTGTTTAGACATTTCAGTGAGGACATTCTTATTCATGGGTCAGCACAAGCACGTTTCTCACATGTGATTTTTCTATCTCTCTAGTCCTTGCTCAAAGATACAGTAAATGGTTTTTACACCAGTATTTGTAAAGGGTGCTCTGCTTCCTCCTCATAGTAAATGACATTTAAAGAACAGTCATTGTTGTGCTATGGCCTTACCCCAACTGCACTTACAGTGTAGACGGTGGATGCCGAGCTGTGTGCCTGGAGATCAGAGCACAACCCAGAGTCTGCGTCCTTCACCTGCTCTGCCCCTAAAATCTGCAAAACAGGGGGGATTCACATGTCACTGCTTTCAAAAGTGTTATCCAACCATGGCGACTAAGGCCTGGATTTTTCAGAAGTCCTCCTCCAAATGATAGTGGAGACTTCTATTAGTAGCCAAGGAGCCGTGGAAATTTATAAACTTGGCTCTTGAAACAATAAGTATGTTTACTATTGCAAACATAAGTATCATGGGAAAATATTGCTAATAAAAAACCTACCTGACATTGCTTGCTATGTCATTTATTAATTTTTGAATTGGTAATTGAACGGTTTACTTTTTCTTCAGGATGGTCCTTCCTAAAGTGGAAAGTATGTAAAAGGCAGATCTTTTAGTTATTGTTTTGAATAATAATAAATGAATCAATCTGATAATGGAGACATGCTTTTACAATAAAAATTGTTTTAAAATAAATTTTTTAACCTTTATTTTCATTCATCTCTGTTTTTTTTTTTTTAAGCCAGGTTTATTTGTTCTTCAAGAACTATTTGAAGAACAAATATTTTCCTTTTTTTTGATTAATTTCCAATCTCTTACCCAAAGCCTCCTGTACATATTTTGGTAAATTGTATAAAGATAAGTATTTGTGTGAAGTTTCTGTTATCTTTCTTTTCTATGCTTCCTTTAAGTCCCATTTAAGCTCTGTGTCAAGATGAAATTCCAAATTGTGAGTTCTTAGTTTTTCCTAGAGCTTTCATAGTTTGGTTTTGTTTTTTGAAGACACTGGTCTCTTTTTATTCACATTTTCTCACACCACCTTAGGAAAAGAAAGAATAAAGAAGAGAGGGAGGAAACAGCCACAAAACTGAGCCAGAGTTCTCCCTACTCAGGCTGTCCTTTCTCTGTTTATAGGGGTCCGAGGCTGCCCTGAGATGCACAGAACTTCAGCTCTGTCCACGGTCACCAGGCCGCAGGTTCCCCAGCCTAGGCTTGTTCTGAGCAGAACAGTGCAACCTGGAACCACCACTGTAACCAAGTAGAAAGGAAAGTAAACCCTGATTCTCATCCACCATGTTAAGGACTCCATTTCTTTCACCACGCTCCAGATGAATAGAACCAAAAGGATTCTGCATCAAGGAATTCTGTAGTTATTCCAGCTGAGGAACGGCACCCGTCCAGTTTGTTCCACACATTTTAATTTCATTAGGAAAGCTAAGATGTGAAATAGCAAGCATTAATGGCAGTATTGGTTTTCTTTATGCCTTTCTCTCAAAATGCACAAGGCACCAGTGGCAATCAAGCTCAAAGCGATGTGGAAGAGCCTGTCCTTGGTGTCTGGTGGAGTACGTGCTTGAGGAAATGTTTATTATTCTGAATCTGGATGGATGAGTCACGTTGAACCAGGAAAAAATCATAAGCAAACTACATACTCAAACCCAGATAAGCTCAGTGATTAAACTATGTCTTGATTCTAAAGTCTTTCTCATTCTATGGCTGCCCTCTGGTTCTGTGATTCAGAGGAAAGAGTTTCCATTCCAACTTCACTTCTGTGTAACTCCCTGTAACAAAATTCCTCTGTTCCTGGTCGTTGGTTCCTTTATTTGATTGAAAAATAAATATACCTATATTGGTACCATACAGAGAAGTGAAGTTCCTCAGTTGTGTCCAACTCTGCGACCCCATGAGCTATAGCCTGTAATGTTCCTCTGTCAATGGGATTTACCAGGCAAGAATGTTGGAGTAGTTTACCATTTCCTTCTCCAGAGGATCTTCCCAACCCAGGGATTGAACCCAGGTCTCCTGCATTGCAGGCAGACTCCTTACTGGCTGAGCCAGGAGGGAAGTCCACTGGTGCCATAACACAATGAAATTCATACAAAGGATAGCTACTCCATTTTTTAACTTTTTATTTTGAAATAATTACAGATTCATAGGAAGTTGCAAAAAATTTACAGGATGGTCCTGTGTACCCTTCACCCAGCTTCCCCCAATGGTAATAAGTACATCCTAAAACATTCTTTAGAGGTATGTATTAGATATTATGCTAAGTGCTTTTCAGATTTAATCCTTAAAACAACTCTACGAAGTAGGTATTGATATTTACCTATTTTACATTTTAAAAATAAAAGCTCAAAGAGGTTAAAATTTTATGAAAGTCAGAAAATATCAGAGTTGGAATTCAAATGTTGGAATCCTAATTCTAAATGATGCTAATGGGATCTGTATGTCATCATGTTCCTGACTTTTCCATCATATTTGTCTCGGCCAGAGAAGCTGGCCAAGAAAGAGAAGGAAAAGGAAAGCCTCAGGAAAGCCTCTGTCATTTCACATGTACAGTCTTGAGATCATCTTAACTCCAGTTGGGTTGTCTCTCTATACCCTCCTGATTTTGACCACTGAAACATTTTAGGAGTCACTCTTTCCCTTTGTTCTCACCTAACACCCTAAGGGATAAGCTGCTTGAAAACCATACTAGCAACTTCCTAACTAGCCTTTTATGATTTCTTCTGGCCAAGGATGCAAAAATTATCTTTCTTATGTAATATTTTGCTTGTATCAGTTCTGGGCCTTAGTAGTCACCCTCCACCAGATGTCCCATGTTTCATTAGACTGTTTGGGCTTCTCTGGTGGTTCAGCTGGTAAAGAATCTGCCTGCAATGCAGGAAACCTGGGTTTGATCCCTGGGTTGGGAAGATCCCATGGAGAAGGGACCAGCTACCCACTCCAGAATTCTGGCCTGGAGAATTCTGGGTCGCAAGGAGTCGGACACAACTGAGTGACTTTCACTCACCATCTTTTCACTTTTTTTTGGCCCTGCCCTTCACCTTGAAGGATCTTAGTTTCCCCATCAGGGATGGAACCTGGGCCCTGTGGAGTGGTCCACATGTGTGGATGCCTGATAACAGTGGCGAGCTAAGGTGGTAAGAGAAAGACAAAAGCAGAACAGCAGAGCTGGGAGCAGAGTTTCCAGGTATTGGTAACATTCCATTTCTTAGACTGCATGGAGGTTGCCTGTGCATGAATGCTTTGTGATCATTTTTCATGCTATGTCTTATGATTTGGGCCGTTTTTTTCTGTATGCATGTTTTACTTTTAAAAGCTTACCAAGCACAGTGTGTGCTTAGTAAATACACTGAACTCTTCAGAATCGTACACTTAAAAATGGTGTAAGATGGTAAATTTAACATTATATATCTTCCCCTTGCACACAATTTTTTAAAATGTTATTAAAGAATTTGCCTCTTCCTGAAACATTTGGGTCACAAAATCTAACCCAGCACCTAAAATTTTTAAATATTCTCAGTTTAAGCTGTCGGTCGTGTCCGATTCTTTGCGACCCCAAGGACCTACCAGGCTCCTCAGTCCTTGGGATTTTCCAGGCAAGAACACTGGAGTGGATTGCCATTTCCTTCTCCGGGGGATCTTCCCGACCCAGGGATCAAACCTGGGTCTCCCGCATTGTAGGCAGACGCTTTTTACCGTCTGAACTACCACGGAAGCCCGTACCGTCTTTAGGCAAAAATAAATAAAGAAGTGGGGGGGAGGGAGAGAAAGGAAGGAAACGGGGAGGAGGTGGGGGAGGGGCGGGGAGGAGAAGGAAAACGAGGAAGAAGGGGGGGCGAGGGCGGGGAAAGTGAAAGAGGAAGCTTTTAC